AAAACAGCTTTTAACTCAAAAACTGTTTCTTTTTTTGTGAATAAAATTTTTCGAAAAAAAATCGATTTTTAGGACACCAAACTAAATCCAGAGAAACAGACCAAAATAAAACGGTAATTTGAATCTAATTTAGTGATTTTGTGGCTTATTTTAGCAAAATTTTTAGCTCAACAACCTGTTTTTACTCTCAGAAATGTCACAAGTAGCATAATTTTCGATCTAATTTGGTAATTTTTGGGCCTTTTTGAGCAAACTTTTTTACTGAGAAAGTTCAAGAATAATTGAAAAGGCAAAAATATTTTCATTTTCCACCTAATTTGGTCTCTTTTAGCAAAAAACTCAGTTTAACTCAGCTCAAAAATGTGCTTAAAAAAATAGTAGTTGATTTTTCGACTGGTTTCGTGATTTTTTATATTGTCTTGAAGTTTTATTCAAAATTTGAGTTTTAAACTTAAAAAAAAGCTAAAAGGTTCAAAAAATAGTATGATTTTTGACCAAATTTGACTTTTTTTTTTGAAAAAAAAGCAACGAAACAATTTTTGTAATTTTTTATAAATAGTTTCTGTACCAGCAACTATTTTATAACTTTATTTAGAGATTTTAAGAGAAGTTATGTTAATTTAGAAGTTTTTCTTGCAGGGTCGTAGAAAAAATTATGTATGTTACACTGGAGAAAAATATTTTTTCCTCCCTTGGTGGAGTAATAACTATTGTTTTGATTGACTAACCTTTCATAAACTTTGGCAATTGTGTCAACAGCGTGTAAAACCCCCAATTATCGGTAAAATGTGACACCACAATGGCCCAAACCGGCGCCGACGTGAAAATCCTCTTCCAGGGATACACAATCCCTTCTTTTGCATCAACATTCCCCAAAGACTGTTGAATATAATCTAATTCTTCTTTGGAAATTCGTGGGTCCTCGGCCGGCGACTCCGCCACAACAATCCACCAAACCACGAACCAAACCAACCCAATGGTACCAAAGAAATAAAAAATGCTGGGCCACCCCAACGCCGTGGCCAAATAGGCACTAACTGGCATGGAGACCACAGTCCCGATGTGGCTCCCCGCGAAGGCCAAAGTGGCCAATCTGGTCCTCTCCAAAGGGGGCGCCCATCGGGCCCAAACCGCGTGGATGCAAGGGTAAGTCACCCCCTCGAAGACCCCCTCGATTATCCTCAAAGTGAGAAGCAAGTAAATGTTGACTCGGGCCAGGAGGGGGGTTATCAGGGTCAGGAATGCTGTGACAGCAATCCCCCCACCGAAGACTCTTTTACCCCCGATTTTCGCCGAAAGCCAACCACCGAACAACTGGGTGGTGATGTAGCCGTAGAAGAAGGAACTTAGGACCACCCCTTGGACTTTTGAGTCCCAATCGAATTCGGGGCCCTAAATTTGTCTAAATTAATTACACAAGGCGACAAAAAAAACTCAGACAACTTGACAAATTTTATATCATTTTGTTCGTCTCAGTAAGACAAATCAAATGCACTAAAAAAAATTCAAAAAGTCCACACACTTTGAACTAAATAATTTTTTTCTAATTTAAGTGAATTTAAAATCCTTTAACTTTAAAAAATCATTACTCAATAACTATTAGCCGATTTCCTTCAAATAAAGACCATTCTAAAGGGATGGCCTTGCCCTTTAGAATGATATAAAATTTTAAATTGAATATTGGCAAACTTTTCTTCGAACAGTGTTCGAAAAAGTTTGAAAAATCTTTCAAAAAAAACAGCTTTTAACTCAAAAACTGTGTTTCTTTTTTTTGTGAATAAAATTTTTCGAAACAAAATCGATTTTTAGGACACCAAACTAAATCCAGAGAAACAGATCAAAATAAAACGGTAATTTGAATCTAATTTAGTGATTTTGTGGCTTATTTTAGCAAAATTTTGCAAAAAAAAAGAAGTTTTTAGCTCAACAACCTGTTTTTACTTTCAGAAATGTCAAAAGTAGCATAATTTTCGATACAATTTTGTAATTTTTTGGGTCTTTTTGAGCAAACTTTTTACTAAGAATGTTCAAAAATAATTGAAACGGAAAAAATATTATCATTTTCGACCTAATTTGGTCTCTTAGCAAAAAAACTCAGTTTATTAGCTCAAAAATGTGCTT